AAATGTGTTAATGGGGTTTAAGGTTAAAAAAACACATTATTTTCCACATACTGTACATTATTGTTTCTCCTCTATGCCCCGCCTTTCTGAAACACGTCGATTTTTACAAAGCTCATCGGTCTGAAAAGCGAGGTATGCTCTTGATTGGCCAGCTATCTAGTGTGTTGTGATTGGCCGCATACCTCAAGTGTGTGACGGAAATGTTACGCCCCTTAACATACTGTGACGCCCTGTCCGGCCGGAGAGACAAAAACATTAAAACTTTAGTCTTTGCAACTTTACAGATCTTCTTTATGCACCAAGAGCTTGTAACACTCCAAAGAGAAAAGAAAAATTGAAATCGCATCATATGACCCCTTTAAACTGTTGTTTTACACAACAGTTAGTTTCAGTCATTAAAAATAATTGGTCAAACTGACTTTTCACTGTTTGTATCACTCCACTTGTCTTGATCCAGGCAGATTGTCAATCTGTGTGCTGGTGGATTTCTCAAGTGACTTTTTCTAATCACAAGTAATTGATTTCATGAGTGAGTCACTGAATTATAATTCAACTGATTGAAAAAAAAAATGAATAAAACAAAAAAAAAATTCTTTTGAGACTGGAAAGATGTGAATGGACACAGTGTTCTACAGGCCAAACTAGACAAGAAACACATTTGTCCAACCACCACCTTTATAATTCAAAAATACTACAAAATCTAATAAGAACCTAAAGAGTATCTAAATATATCCTTCCAGAAGGAAGAAGGATCTCTACACTCCTGAGCAGTAGGGGTGCCAGAGAACAGCTAACCTGTCTCCTGTCTCCTTCCTTCGGTCTCGGCTGGCTGCTTCTCCACGCCCCCTGCATGCCCCAGAGCCCGAGGCCCCACCACGCCCCCGAGAGGGGCCCCGGTCCCGGCGCACCCCATCTGCTTTGTTTTCATCTGTAAGGAGAGCCCACTGTTCAGCAGAGGACACTAGGACAACTCTACTAATAAAGGAGCTGCATTAGGCTGTGTGCTTCTGTAAAATCTGTGAGCCGTTTACTGCTTCTTAACTAAACATTTGGAAGAGGCTGTTTTTAGGAAGAGAGGCTACTGGACATTTTCTCTTGCCTGACAACTGCAAAAGACAATAATCCCCTGTTGTCAATCCACTATGACATTTTAAGGGGTTTCCAGTTGTGACTTGTGTGTGGTAAAAAAAAGAGTATATGCACTGACTTCTTCTTTTACACCTTCCACCATTATTGCTTTTCATGTCTCACTGGATTTGAACACCTATAAGCTTACCTTTATTTCTTTGAGGAGCATCAGCTGAGCTTGCTGCACTGAAAAATAAAGTACATCAAAAATACTAAAGTCAGAATAATTCTAAAGAGCGCTCTCTCTCTCTCTCTATATATATATATATACACAAACTTTCAAAAGTTTGGGGTCAGAAAGTCTTTTATGGGGTCTTTAAAAAAAAAAAAATTGTACTTTTATTCATCAAAGATGTATTAAATGAATCAAAAGTGACAGTAAAGACAATTATAATTGTTAGGAAAAACAAACAACAAAACTGCTGTTCAAAGAATCCTAAAAGAAACGTATCACTGTTTCAACACAAATATTAAGTAGCACAACTGTTTTCATTATTGATAATATTAAGAAATATTTCTTGAGCAAATCAGCATATTAGAATGATTTCTGAAGGATCATGTGACACTGAAGACTGGAGTAATGATGCTGAAAATGTTTTGCATCACAGGAATAAATTACATTTTACAGTATAATTAAATAGGAAACATTTATTTTTAATTGTAATAATATTTCACAATGTTAATGCTTTTATGGTAACATTTTATTTTACGGTGTCCTTGTTACAATGTTACATGTACCTACTATAGTAATAACAATAAATGATGCATAATGCAACTAACCCTAAACCAAACCCGCATCCTAACCCTAATCACATAGTAAGTACATGTAGTTAATTAATATTCCTAAATATTACTTAAAGTACTTAATTACACTGTATTAAGGACACTGTACCATAAAGTGTAACTGTTTTTACTTTAGTTTTTTAACACCAAGTCAAACACATAAAAAAAAACCTTACAGACCCCAAACTTTTTACGTAGAGTATATATGTACTAATTATATGATATTTTAGATAATATAGTACATATTATACTGAAATAATTCTAACAGTTTTTGAATAATAGCTATCAATATATAACATATCAATCCAGATAGAAACCTTTTGGGTGGAGCGCTACTGCTGGGAGAGACGACAGGTTTACTATCACTCTCGCTGGATCCTGCACTCATGGCGCTCCTCTTCGCCCAAGGGTTCTCCTTAGGTGGCGGCGCCGGGACAACTTTCAGCGGCAGCCCCTCCTGCTTGGAAGTAGTAACCTGGTTTCCATGTAAGGATGAATCCTCGTCACGGCTGCTGAAAACCTCGTTTTCTACAGAGCGCTCACTCTCCCGACGCCTCGGCGCTGTTGAGAGAGGAGAAGGATTGGAATCTGAGGATTTCTTTTTAATAAATCATTGCATATAGCGACAGTGTGATGACAGATTATTTACGCGTCTTATGATCAGTACCTATAAAACAGTACCTAAAAATCAGACCTGTGCATAACTGGTCAGTGATCACTTACCCCTGCTCGATGTGTTTCCTGTTTGTGATGACTCACTTCCTGTTCGTGAGCGCTCGGTTGCTTGGTCCTCACTGCGCCAGCTGGGATGCCTGAGCGTTTTAGGAAATGAGAGTGAAAATACCATTTAGAAAAAGGGAAAGCATGTGAAAGTATATCCTAAGTAATATGCCACTAAATATCATAATTAGTAAAATTCAAATTGTTAATATCACATGCCAATTTTTTTAGTGGGTGGTGGAATTGTGAATCATCCATTCACAAAACCATATTAATATGCAAGCAAATTATGTATTCTCAATTAATTTGAATATAATTAACATCACAATAATCAATATTTATGAGAAGAGTAAATTGAGTTACAGGTCATTATTGCAATTTATATTCATTTATAGTTAAATTTGTTGTAGTTCAAGTTTAACAAAGTTAATGAATAGTTCACCTTCTAGCTATAAACAAATGTGATACATTTAAAAAAGTATTTAAAAATGGTTTCTTTATATATATATATATATATATATATATATATATACAGTGGGTACGGAAAGTATTCAGACCCCCTTACATTTTTCACTCTTTGTTATATTGCAGCCATTTGCTAAAATCATTTGTTAATTTTTTTTCCTCATTAATGTACACATAGCACCCCATATTGACAGAAAAACACAGATTTGTTGACATTTTTGCAGATTTATTCAAAAAGAAAAACTGAAATATCACATGGTCTTAAGTATTCAGACCCTTTGCTGTGACACTCATATATTTAACTCAGGTGCTGTCCATTTCTTCTGATCATCCTTGAGATGGTTCTACACCTTCATTTGAGTCCAGCTGTGTTTGATTATACTGATTGGACTTGATTAGGAAAGCCACACACCTGTCTATATAAGACCTTACAGCTCACAGTGCATGTCAGAGCAAATGAGAATCATGAGGTCAAAGGAATTGCCTGAAGAGCTCAGAGACAGAATTGTGGCAAGGCACAGATCTGGCCAAGGTTACCAAAAAATTTCTGCTGCACTTAAGGTTCCTAAGAGCACGGTGGCCTCCATAATCCTTAAATGGAAGACGTTTGGGATGACCAGAACCCTTCCTAGAGCTGGCCGTCCGGCCAAACTGAGCTATCGGGGGAGAAGAGCCTTGGTGAGAGAGGTAAAGAAGAACCCAAAGATCACTGTGGCTGAGCTCCAGAGATGCAGTCGGGAGATGGGAGAAAGTTGTAGAAAGTCAACCATCACTGCAGCCCTCCACCAGTCGGGGCTTTATGGCAGAGTGGCTCGACGGAAGCCTCTCCTCAGTGCAAGACACATGAAAGCCCGCATGGAGTTTGCTAAAAAAACACCTGAAGGACTCCAAGATGGTGAGAAATAAGATTCTCTGGTCTGATGAGACCAAGATAGAACTTTTTGGCCTTAATTCTAAGCGGTATGTGTGGAGAAAACCAGGCACTGCTCATCACCTGTCCCAACAGTGAAGCATGGTGGTGGCAGCATCATGCTGTGGGGGTGTTTTTCAGCTGCAGGGACAGGACGACTGGTTGCAATCGAGGGAAAGATGAATGCGGCCAAGTACAGGGATATCCTGGGCGAAAACCTTCTCCAGAGTGCTCAGGACCTCAGACTGGAACTAAGGTTTACCTTCCAACAAGACAATGACCCTAAGCACACAGCTAAAATAACGAAGGAGTGGCTTCACAACAACTCTGTGATTGTTCTTGAATGGCCCAGCCAGAGCCCTGACTTAAACCCAATTGAGCATCTCTGGAGAGACCTAAAAATGGCTGTCCACCAACGTTTACCGTCCAACCTGACAGAACTGGAGAGGATTTGCAAGGAGGAATGGCAGAGGATCCCCAAATCCATGTGTGAAAAACTTGTTGCATCTTTCCCAAAAAGACTCATGGCTGTATTAGATCAAGAGGGTGCTTCTACTAAATACTGAGCATTTTTCAGTTTTTCTTTTTTAATAAATCTGCAAAGATGTCAACAATTCTGTGTTTTTCTGTCAATATGGGGTGCTGTGTGTACATTAATGAGGAAAAAAAATTAACTTAAATGATTTTAGCAAATGGCTGCAATATAACAAAGAGTGAAAAATTTAAGGGGGTCTGAATACTTTCCGTACCCACTGTATATATAAAGAATAAGTTCATTTAATTCTTGGGTGCATAAAGCCAGAAATTAAAATTATATCATCATTTATTCAGCCTCATGTCATTCCAAACCTGTATGATTTTCCTTCTTCTGTGGACCACAAAAGAAAAAAAATTTGAATAATGCTGGTAGGAAAACAGTTTCAGTCTCTAATGACTTTCATTGTATTTTTTTTTTTATATCTTCTTTTATGTTAAAAAGAAAGGAACTCGTACAGGTTTTGAACAACATGAGGGTGAGTAAATGATGACAGAATTTTCATTTTTGGGTGAACTATCCCTTTAACAAAAAAATTCAACATTTAGTAAAAATGTACTGTACCTCTCTCTGGGTTTGCGTTCAGGTCCTCTGCTCTTGTCCTCCTCCAGCTGCCTCTGCAGTCTCTCCTGCTCTTTCTTTAGTCTCTCCTCCACCTCTCTCTCTTTAGCTGCCGTGTCCACCGGTTTGGCTCCTCCGAAGATGGAAGCAGCTTGTCCCGATGAGGCTGAAGGGCCGCTGCTCTGGTCTTCCTCTTTGGGAACACTGCGAGGCTTCAGGTTCAGTTTAGGCCTCTGAGGTGGACCTAAACACAGACAAAGTCCAGTCTGTTTAGATGATCTGATTCAAGACTTCCTTAGGTTTGGTTCCTGGTAGGGTTGTGACGGTGAGGAAATTTTCCCACCGGTTAATCGACGTGTGACAACACCGATAATACCGGTATCACCGCGGAATAGATTTTCAACCAGCTAGCGGTTAATCTTTACATCCCTAATAACCAAATAAATAAACATAGAACGTTTATTAGCAAAACGAATAAGAAAGTTTGGAGGCGAGTGACCCAGATAAATTAAATGGACCGTACCACCTCTGTCCTCGAGCCTCTCATCCCGTCTCTCGCATCTCTCTTCACGGTCACCATAGCGATCTCCATAGCGCTCCCCGCTGCCCCGTCCGTCGTCCCGTCGGTCATCATAGTCACGCCGAAAGCCACTTCCAAATGGTCGACGACCCCCACTGCGAGAATCATAACCTGAAATAAGGTTAGGTAACACTAGGTTAAGAAAGATCACAAATGTAAACAGTATAGTATAGTATATATATTTATTTAATCCCATGTCAGCATCAAAGGCTATTTTCATGGCAAAAACAATAAAAAAAAATACAAGTATAACAAATACAATAAAAACCAGCAAACAAACAAACACAAGTTTCACGAATGTAAACAAACTAATGGCTGTTTTTGTTTTAAATGATCAATGCAATTCCATTTCTAAGGAGCAAGGCCCTTTTCTGTTGTAAATGGATTACAGAGCTGAATTTTATTATTGTAATTTTGACACAGTTGTTCTGTTCTTCTAAGATCATTTCAGAGTTTTCATAAAAACAAGTCCACATGTCTGATTAAATGAATTAATCCAAGCCAACGCTCCGTTATTCCAAGAGCATCTTTTTGAACCAAGGGGAATAATAATGTACTTTTATTAATATTAATAATAAAGTGATGGCAAATAACAAAAAAATTAAATAAATCATAATATAAATTATTATATAAATAAATAAATGCAAATTTTACAAAATATTTACTTAGCACTTATTCAAATAAATTATTCATTAATTTGAGGTCAGTAGGATTTTGTTTTCTTTCTATTCATCAAAGAATTCTGAAAATTCACAGTGTATTACAGTTTCCACAAAAATATTAGTCAGCACAACTGTTTACAAAAATGATGATAAAAATGTTTCTTAAGCAGCAAATCGGCATATTAGAATGATTTCTGAAGGACCATGTGACACTGAAGACTGGCGTAATGATGCTGAAAATATAGCTTTGCATCACATGAATAAATTAAATTTTATCCAAACAGAATCCAGTTATTTTAAATTGTAATAATTTTTCACAATATTAGTGTTTTGCTGCATATTTGATTAAATAAATGAAGTCTATGTGAACATGAGATGAACAAAAGTGTATATCTAAAAAATAAAACATTAATTATCCATTCTCAAGATTGCTGGTTGAATTTGGAACTGACACTAAAAAATACCCAAACACTACTGCTGGCATATTCCTGCAAGTCAAAGTGATTTGTCAGATTTGTGCAGAATCATAATGTATGAAGGCGTTATATACCTTTGTCATAGTCTCTGCGCTCTCTGTCATCATAACGTTCCCGGTATCTGTCTCTTCCTCCATCATAGCGGTCATTGTCCCACCTCTGGCCATCACGGTAACGGTCTGATTCATAACGATCTCGGGATCCTAAGAAGTGGATGGTAAAAAAAAAAACAGTCAGAATCGGTCTTGTCTGGGCCCATGTCTCGCTCACTACGGTTGCGATCCCACCCGGATACAGAGCGCTCGTCTCTCTCTAAACAGGAAAAATAAAAAATTATTGTGAATATGGAAATATATATTTTTTGCTCCAATAATACAGATTTACAACTGCATTATGCTACATATGAACAGATCAGTTTCTCAGAACCACACCTTTCTCATTGGACTGGTCAGCGATGTCTGGAGTAATATTAATTAACGTAACTAATGTACTTACCATATGGTTAGGATTAGGGTTTATCTTAGGGTTACTTGCATGTAATTATGCATAATTTATTGTCGTTATAACAGTAAGTATATATAAAGTGTGCAACAAGGACATCTTAAAATAAAGTGTTGCCAACTATTTTTATTTGAATATTTCTTAAAATGTAATTTATTCCTGTGATAGCAAAGTTGAATTTTTAGCAGTCACTACTCTATGCCATTATGAATGCCATTATGAATGTTTTTACTGTAACTTTTAATCAATCAATTTAAAAGGAACACTCCACTATTTTTGAAAATAGCCCATTTTCATAATAGCTCATTTTCCAACTCCCCTATTGTTAAACAGTTGAGTTTTACTGTTTTCGAATCCATTCAGCCGATCTGCGGGTCTGGCGGTAGCACTTTTAGCTGTAGCTTAGCATAGATCATTGAATCTGATTAGACCGTTCCAGCTGAATATATTAATATTAAATATTAAAGTATTAATTTCTTACAAAAAATATTTTCAATGGTAGTGTAAGCAAAAAAAATAAATACACAATACAATATTGAATAAAAAAAATATTAAAATCTTTAACCACTATACTAGAACTGACAATTTACTAATGTGGTAAAACAGTCAAAAAATAAAGTTGTTTAAAAATGAACACTAGAGTGTTTTCATATGAAAAGATTAGCCTAAATTAACCTATTTTCATTTGTATTTTGTACTGCTGAACTTGTAATGGCATGTGAAACCCATCACCACCAAAATTAAGAACTAAAAATGAAGTTTCAGGGTTTTTTCCCTCTTATAACTAATCTAGAAACACAATGAAACTCAGCTGTGCTCTAAAAACAACTTGAAAAATAATTATCTTCATGCACTATTTACCACAAGATGTTGTGAGACATGCAAAACAGCACAAGTCTGAAAACCCCAACAGATGCTGTTTGGCAGAATCCATGTTAACGAAGTACAATGCATGTGAGAATTCCTTCTGCAGGCTTACAGGAAGAGGAGAAACTCACACTGAGTCCACGGAAGAAGTTTTTGATGGAGTCCTCAGTGACGTCGTAGGGGAGGTTGCCCAGGAAGGCGGTGTAAGGGGGGCTGCGGGGCAGACGGGAGCGGTCGATGTTGGGCTCACGGGCGGCACGTGGAGCCGTCGGCAGAATGGACCGATCGATGGGTGGCGCACGATACACCTCCTCTTCTGTGTGCCAGGATGTAGTTACTATAAAAGAAGTGAATCGCTTGATTAGGGACAGTTCATCCCAAAATGTAAACTCTCTTATAATTTTCCCTCATGTCAATCTAAAACCAGATGGCTTTCTTTCTTTGGTGAAAAAAACTGCTCTTTCACGTACAAATAAGGTAACACTGACCACGGATGTCAAGTTCCAAAAAAAACACCATAATAATAATCCAAATGACACATGCATTATATGCCAAGTCTTCTGAACCCATCCGATAGCTTTGTCTGAGGAACAGACTGGAATTCATTCAAATAATCCTACAAAATTTGAAATATTAAGAGGCATAGTGCCAGGTTTGCCATGGAAAACACTGCTGCTTCTTGTATTGAATGAGCAGAAATGGAAATGACATTTGAAAGCTACAGTGGAGGGGAATCTTATCAAATATTCAAATAAATACCATTACTAACAATTGGAATAAGTCATAAGGTCCTTTTTATGGTGCTTTATTTGACCTTCACAGCCAGTAGTCACTTGACGCCTTTATTGAATGGAAAAGTGCAGCATGAACATTGTGCAAAACATTTCATTTAGTTGTTCACAGAAGAAATAAACTGTTCCTTATTTTACCTACGGCTTTTTCATAATAAGCGTCAATACTAAATTTAGCCTATACAAAAAGATAAATCAACAAAACTTAAAGTTTGTCTTAAATAACTAGGACTTTTACACATAACTGAAAATGAAAACGTTTCACCCGATTTCACCCCAATGACAGATATATATCTATTTTTTATTCCTTTTTTTAAGCATGTGCATTTCCCTAAATTTTGTGAAACACCAAACCAAAATCAAAGAAAGAGTGGTGAAACTATCTATATCAGCAGGTATCAGTAGTCTTTATTTGTCATTCAAAAAAGAGAACCAAAACCAGGACTGCATATAGACAAAAAAAAAAAAACACTTTAACATTTCAGTCATACTGTCATGTGTTTATGTTTCATCTTTTCTTGTCGTTATCAGCATTTTAATCCATCTTGTAGATGTCCTTGGAACTAAGGTTCACTTAAAGTGGGAACTAAACATCTTTCCAACTTGAGATCTATACAGTCACAAAGAATTGTTTATTACACAGAATCTGTGCCTATATCACCGACCATAACTATGTCAGCATCACTTGGCCATTAAGTGTAGTTTGGGCTCCTCCTCAATGCATCCAATAAATGTTGTCACATCATGCACATATCCAGTCTGTTTTTCTTCATTAGTAACATGCAATTATATAGGAGGCGTTAAATTTGATCTTTAGCACCTTGCATTCTCTTATCACGTAGACAACAGGTTAAGTGAAAATATGAATATGCAATATAGCGCATAAATTTAGCAAAATGCTCCTTTTTATAGTTCTTTTTTCTAGCTGACTGATGATCTTATGGAGCCGAATGGCTATTCTGAGGTAAATGTATTACGTGGCATTGCTTACAAGCTTTACACGTTTTCCATAGTTTAGAAACACTGAATGAGCTTTTACATGAGACATTTCAGTAAGTTGTACTGTAGGCTATCTTATAAAATAACTTTTGATGTTCATTCATGTTCATTTCGTACTAAAGAGAAAGATATGACTGGATCACGTGCCGCATTGAGGAGCGCCAAAACGGTATTGTTTAAAGGGGTCATTTGATGCGATTTCAATTTTTCCTTTCTCTTTGGAGTGTTACAAGTTCTTGGTGCATAAAGAAGATCTGTAAAGTTGCAAAGACTAAAGTCTCAAATCCAAAGAGCTTTTCTTTATAAAATTTAAGAGTCAACCACGCCTACCTAAAACGGCTCGTTCTAACACGCCCCCCCCCATATCTACGTCACTATGTGGAAATATTAGCATAATGCCGCCCAAATGTGCATGCAAAGAAAAAAGGCGTGGTTTCAGGAACAGCAGTAGTGTTGTGGCAGCCATGTCAGGGAGACGTTGTGTTTCAGTGCGAAAGCTAAAGCACTTTATTTGGCCTTCCGGAAAACAAAGCACAAGCTTATTGTGATTACTGGACAGCAAGTGCGCCACAATATGAAGTTCACGCATTAATAGAACACAGCATATACTGTAGTAGGGGTGGGAATCACCAGAGGCCCCACGGTACGATATTATCATGATACTTGTGTCACGATACAATTTTATTGCGATTTTAAATATATTGCGATATTCTGCGATATATTGCAATTTATTACATTTTTCCAACTTCAAATTATGTCCCCAAGGGAAAACTTTGGCAACATCTGTTTTAATTAAAAAGAAACATTTCTCAGTTTGTTTATCTCACTTCAATTTTATTGTTGCAGTGCAAAATGGGATTGTCAAGCAGACAAACTGACCAACACTTTCATGAAAACCTGTCGTAAATGTTGTATGCACCTGGCAAACTCAACTATTTGTATTACAGTCTAGTCTAGTCCACTTTAATTAAATGTAAACAGGTATGCACTGCTGTGCTACTACAGGTATTTTGAACAATGCAACTTGAACTTGTACAAAAAAACGTTGTGCAGACTCTTCAGCAATTGGGGCATTTTGAAAGTAAATTACTGTTAAATTTAAAATAAATAAAACAGTCTTACATCCGATTTAAACGCAGACAGGGCTTTCCTTATAACTCTGCCATGCTGCCATCTTTATTTTACTAACTTACTGCATGCTGAAGGTGACCCAGCTGACCTCACCAGTAAAAACCTCAACACCACCATCTAGTGGATTGTAAAGAAATTGATTTTATTATTTTACCAAATAGAATAATAAAAGATCGATACTTGGCGTCCGTGTATACTATGCTGTATTGATTTTTCCCCCACCCCTAGCATATAGTCTAAAGATCTTGATAACAAGAAGCCACAGTATCGATTAAAAATGAGAATTGTTAACGATATTGTTATATCCACACAGCTGTTGTAGTTTGTTCAAGTTGTGCACGAAATAGACACTACTTTTCTGCACTTGTACTTTGCACGTCTCTGTCATTTTCGATCTCTCTCATGCCGCCACAACCGGAGCTGCTTTAAGCAGGTGTGCCATCAGCGCTGGTGTTCGGCAGAGATGAGAACTGTTTGAAAGTCTTTTTTCACTAAAACTTTGATGCGCATCGTCTCAGTTCAAGTCAACATAACAAAAGATGTGATCACAAAACAATCAGGAAAAAAAGGCACCAAGTGCAAATTTTTAAGTCATAACATGTAAATTTATATAGTTGCCAGTGGTGACCTCAGCAAAAACTTCACTATAAAATTAATATTTTTGGTCCGTTTTAGCCACAGTCTGGAGCCCTGATATATACAACCTGTAAACAAAGCAGTACTTGCTTACCATTTTGAATATGAATCCAGTTAATCATCTTCTTTATTAGAGACAGCTCATGTTGTTATTAAAATACATGCATACTTTAATGCTCAGTTAAGATGACGTAAAATTTGAAAAAACTTCTGTTGGTGCCTCTGAATACATGTGGGAAGTAAATGGTTATGTGCTTTATACATTATCTGTGCAATTCTGAAATCAAACAGAAGTTATCGAAATATGAAAAAGATTGTAAAAGCATATTTTGAAAGCAAAGCATCTACAATTCAAATGTGGTAGATGTTTAATCCCATATCTGAATCTCACCATCTCCCTCCAGGTCATCGGTCTCGTCGGCCCAGCTTGTGGGCTTTGTGGGCGCATAACTCGGCGGAGCATTTCCCCCGCTGTCCTCTGCTAAAAAGTCAGTCAGGGTAAGGGTCTTACCCTTTTTCTTAATCTTTTTACCTGTCAAAAAATAAATAAAAATAAAATAAAAACAATAAGTACACATTGAAAACAGCATGAAAGGTCTCCAGTGCTTAACCATTAAGCTCAAACACCACGATGAGGCATCATCGATGAAAACAAATGGGTTGTAAAAATAAAAGTCTGTTGTGGCTTATGCATGCATTTACAACTGCAACTGGATGACAAAGCAGAAGATCCAACAATATGCAAGTTAGTATACTTACTTTGCATTTAATATAATTCAGCAAATGCAGACTAACCGGTCCTACATAATTTGCATAGACAAACTGCTGCATTTGGAAAACAAGAATATCTATTTCCATGTCAGACTGACTCTCGTCTGTTGTGGACCGCAGCGGTTAACACGTGGAGAGAGGCATTGTTGTGAGTTACTATACACTTCTGAGCTCTTTGTAACAAACTGCACTGTCAGGACATTCCAGCTCTGTGCAACTGAATCCGTGTTTACTGTAGGGCTACGACACCCTGCTGCAAAACCAAAACAAAGCCCCCAAGTTCTGACAACATTATGCTAAAGCTCAATGTATGTGCAATGACTCAGGCACACTGGCTTTAGAGTGGCAGTGACCTGTGAAAGTAGAAGGAAGAGTCAGACACCCTCCTGAATGATGATTATACTATATTATACTATATAGTCAAAACAACTGAATCCTAGAAGAGGTTTAAGGCTTGACAAGATGTGTATAAATGTGGTTTTGTGCCATTTTCTCTTAGGACCGCTGCATGGGAATTTTCTCCATTAGAGCTACCATTTTTCAGCACCAGATAGGGCTTCCAAAAAGCACCTTAGATTCACATATGAATGCATTTGAGAGTTCTTCGTTCTGTATGATTTTAAAATAGTATCAGAAAAAAATTATGTCTTAAAGTAAATGGCATTGTTCCTTCTCATGCTAAATGTCTATTTTTTTTTTTTTTAAATATATGCCGTCAATACAGTAACATGGCTGACAGTTAAGATAGGGTGACCATATATTTGTTTTTCAAAAAGAGGACAGTGGGTGCGGGCAGGGCAGTGGGCTGGGGTTGGTTGGTGGTTCAAGTAATGCCGAAAGTGCCCAAAGTAGCACAATCTCAAATATCAAAACTCAAAATATGTCATTTCCATACCTAATATACATATTTTACAGTCACTGTTATGCATATTTATCATAAACACAGCTAAAAAGCTTCCTACCAGTGGCCGTCCTTCACAAATCTTAACATCTGTTTTATCATAGGTAGAATGCAAAATGTTTCAATACAAGCATTTCAGTCAAATGTAATTTATGCAACATTTCAAACCTTTAACCAACGGGGGAAAATCAAGCCATGGCAACAGTTTAAAAGTAGCCCAATTCCAATGAAAAAAAAAAAACCCGTGGACTTGACAACTCTGCATCCAACACGAGCTGCAGGAGTAAGATTTCACTGATCACGGGTTGAGAGGAGAGATGGCTGACAGACCATGCTGGAGGATTTGCTGCTCAACACATCCTGAGCTCAAATATCTGATCTTCCTTTACACAGAGTGCGCGTGATTGCGATATCGAAAGTGAACAGCGAGCGCTCATTCAAAAGAGATTATACTCTCTATTGTTCACTATTGATAGCGGCCCCCTGATGCGCGAAAATTATATGCAATATTAGAATGTTTGCGGGAGTGGGCGGGACTGGACACAGTCTTCTTCAGTCGTCTA